GAAAACTGTAAGCAATTGCAACACACAGAAAAGGAAGTGTTGGCCAGAAGTCCCTTTTTACTAACCACAGGCTACACTGGTAACTGTGGAAAATTGGACATTGCTATGATCGGCTATCTGATGGGGTTCCAAGATTAGGGACCAGCTAATGTGTCTCACTTTTGTGCTGGAGTTTTGTCAAGTTGTGCTGCTTTGTTGTGCTGCCATAGCATTAGTAGGAGAAGCAAATCTCAATAGAATTACATTCCCTATAGATACAGTCAGCATCAGTGGGAAGGGGGGTTGATAACTCCTCCATTTTAATTTTATGAAGGACCGTTATTCACAGTAAGGCACGTGGATGACCTGACTGACAGGTGGGCCTGGTGAGACGGTTTGTCAGGAGCTCTGCAGTTAGGCTGAGACAGCATTTCCAGCCTGGCGACCGCCATCGAAGGGATTCCAAAAACTGATGGGTGACGTCACTCAGGCTTTGTCCATTAATATTTACAGTCTGTGGTCTCCACTAGGACATATTGAACATCTGGGTACACAACTTATCAAATGCTGAGCGTCCATATTATTTTAATGTTAGCACCAAAGTAGCAAAAGTGAGAAAATTAAGCCATCTGAGGAGCCCAACCGTTTTCAGAGATGGTCATCTCAAAGTTGAGTAAACTGGTCTAGAAAGACGTTTTAAGAGTTAAAGGAAAGGGCAAACTCTTCCTTTTCTGAGGCTTTTCTGAATTTTAAATCAAACAAACTTTATGCTCATGCTATGACAAACATCCGTCCTTTTTAGTAAACTGTCGATGAGTGACTGGTGTCCACAGGGAGCAGATGAGATGAGAGATGGTACAGTATGAACGTTTAACCGATCATATCCTGTACACACTGGATATCCTGAGCTGTGACCCATTTAATGGCACAGACATCAGTGTGATGTTTGCAGATTTGATGACAGCATGTGTTGGTAGCAAAAATAGAGCTGTACATTCTGTCCACATGCAGCATCTGTGACATACACACCGTCATGCTACTGTACAGACACATATACTGTACACTTCAGATGCAAGCATTTATCCCTTACCTTCTTATTATGAAGAACATTAAACGCCTTTAACACCAAAACCTTGAGGACGGCAGGTAAGGTGAGAAGTCGGCTTGCATGGGATGGTTAAACTTGTATCAAATCTTAGCAAAATAAACACATCCTTGAGTAAGTTATATAGTTTCACAAGCACAGATATTAACTGCCACACACTAGTCTTGTAGTCAAGACCAAGGCAGGGCGAGACAGAGACAAGACCAAGACCATAAATATCTCTGAAAAATCATCATCTTGTGTGCAGAAGGTAAGGGAAGGTTGCATGCCGTAACCTGGGGATGAAACTCAATTTGTACAAATTAATTGAAGTTGTCTTTTGTTTTAGAAAGAGGCGTTTTCCTTCTAATCACATGACAACGTGGAAAAACACAAGGTAAGGTAAGGTTTAGTCTTGTCATGAAGCCAGCTGGAAAACAAACTCAAACTCTGAAAGAAACATGAGGAAGTAATTCATGCAACATCTTTTGCCTTCTTCAGCAATGAGTTTGGTTGAGGCGGGTACTAAGCCTCCTGACAAACAGCTACTATACACCCTAAATATGAATTTAAAAAAGGGGCGTTTTCTCTAATCACAGTAATGATGTGGAAAAATAGCCTTTCAGTTTTGGTCTTGAATCTAGAATCCGGAGTCCGCCCAGTCTGAGACCGAGACGAGACCTTGTGAAAATGATTTTGATTCCGAGATGAGACCAAGACCGGTCTTGAGACCAAGACCAATTTCCAGTACTACAAAACTACACACAATAATACTCTTTGCGCATGAATTCTGCAAAGTCAGTAAAGTAGCTGTCATGCTCTCTGTGTTGTTCGCCGATGTGCAGACGTGGACTCAACCTTTTCTCTCTCTCTCTCTCTCTCACCTGTTTGTCAACTGAGCACGCTTCATGATAACATTAAGCATGCATGTGTGGTATAACGACGTTATGTACAAGAGAGGTAATCCTGCTTAAGCACAGATAGTCCTGTGTAGTGTGACCGCGGGCCGTGCCGGCCAGTGTGAGAATGGCGCAGCGGAAGCCAATCGTGCTTGAGTACGGCAGGGTACAGATGGCCATCAGCTGATGCAGCTTGCGTGAGATTAGCTGTTACCGAAACTCTGGCATGATAATAGGGCGTGACTCTGTGACCTGCCTGAACTAACGCTATACTCCATTCTTGTCATGAAGCCAGCCAAAATATTTAAAAGAAACATGAGGAAATAATCCATGCAGACAGAAATGTTGATGTGACTCATTTGTGTGCGAGTTCATCTGAACGCTTCAACTGAAATTTAATCTACAATCATAAGAACATGTTCTGCTCAACAACATATTTTGCCCTCTGCAGCAATGAGTTTGGTTGAGGCGGGTACTAAGCCTCCTGACAAACAGCTACACCCTAAGTTTTAGGGTGTTTTATTGAAAACAGATAAGATGAGGCGTTGCACCCCATATACGGAGGCTGTAGTCCTCCAAGCAGGCGGCCCGGGTTTGAGTCTGACCCGAGGCTCCTTTCCCGCATTTCAATCCCCACACTCTCTGTCCCTGTTTTCCGACTCCATCCACTGTCAAGTCACTACAAGGAATATCCTGATGGTTCTTTGTGATTGTGAATTGTTTGTTTTAGATATTTATACATTTTCTATTTTAATATATATATTTTTTTTTTATTTTGATGTTGTGTGAAGCACTTTGAATTGCCTTGCTGTTGAAATGTCCTGTATAAATAAACTTGTCTTACAACAAAGGCACATACAGAAAAGTCCAGAACTAAATCTGTAAACATGTTTATCTCTGCTGTAAAAACTCTCTTTTTTTTGAATGGGTGTGTATGTGACTTCAGGGTCTTCTGCAGCCAGCCTCAAGTGGATACTCGATGAACTGCAGGACTTTGCACAGGTTATTGCTTGGTTTTGTTGCATCTTCGTTTGTTAGCAATGAACCTAATTACATATCTTAAGATTTTGATAGACAAGCAGGATCCTGTGTTTACACTCTGTTTACTTCTGTCTGCTGATTCTGTCGCCTGGGTGTTGCCTACAGCTATAGCTTGCATATTTCCTGGTTCTGAAAAAACATCAGTCTCATTTTCTGTAAGCTGTCTTACAAGCTGTTCAACCAGTTAGGAACATTTCAAGAAAATGACAAGCTGTTCAGTTTTGATACCTCAGGGTGTTTCCACTGCTCCGTGGTGTACCTGGTCCATGAGACTAATGCAGGATTTCCACAAAGTCCTGTTTACTAACCACTATGGGGAGCCATTTAGGACATTTGCTTTGTGGTTGATTTTGTTAGTTCATTGATTTGTATTTATTTATTTTTTTAGATGTAATGATTTTCATTTCGCACTGAGATATTCATGACTGCATGCACCAAACTGTGACGTTTGAACCGTGACAGTACAGGACGAATACAAATTCTGTGACACCCCGAGTAACGATAAATTCAAATTCTGTTACTGTCCTCTCTCACAGCATATTTTAAAAGTTCAACTGGTCTGAATTTTCTGTCCATTTCTAATCCAACTTCAAGGTGTTTCCCTTGACTTAGAATTTTTCTTTTAAGAGGACATATTATCCCCCTTTTCCATCTTTTCAAACAGTCCCCTGTGGTCTAAATGAAACATCTGTGCTGTGCTTTGCTCAAAATATAACATGAATCAAGCACCAGAGGAGGTTTGTGACCCTGTATAAACCAGCTCTCTCAGAACGCTCCCTTTTGGTGTGTGTGTCTCTTTAAATGCAATGAGCCCCCCTGAGTTTCCCCGGTAGACATCACTCCTCTGTGGCGAGAATAAAAATGGCGGACCTGTGCAAAAGTTTTGCTCTAGGCTGGGGGTGGAGTCCAAGGGTGGAGATATCAGGGGAGGGGAGGGGAGGGTATTTTTTTTTAACCAGAATCCCACTGTGATGTCACTAGGTGAGCAAATCTGAAAAAGAGCATTTTTCTCTGTGTTGCAAGACTACTTCTGGATATCTTGTCTTTGTTCCTCACAACTTCAATCGTTGCTTCTGTACCACCGTCACTGATCCTAGCAAAGATTTTTAGCACAGGAGTGATTTAGGAACATTCTCAGAGCAACTCTGAGCAAGGAAGGAAGAGATACTTTTATCTTAGTGAGAAGGTGTCTTGACCCTGTTGCTAGGCATGACAATTTTTTGCAGGAGCTCTGATTGATTATCCCCAAAAAAACCTTTCCTGCTGTTTTTCTTCACCTTTTTGCACCGTGAGTTCTTATATTTTTGACCACTCATGTCTTATTTAAAGAGACTAATATTTTTGCATATATCTCAGCCTGTGGACATTTCTGTGACTTCTTAGCCCGGTTATTTAGAAACTTCATCAGTTCACATCCTTTTTTTTCTTCAGAAACCTTGACTTTGTTTTAGATGAGAAGAGCTCCCTGAAAATAACAAACACGTTCCCCTTTAAACTTTGATAAAACCAATGAGGTGTTGAAATCAACTAGTAATGGGAAAAACAAGAGAGATCATTGTTCTCCGTTCACTCTGTTTTATTCATGTTTGTAGAAAGCATACTTCAGAAATATGTTCCAATACTCAGTAACACACTTTTACATTGTAATCACCCCACACGTCCCATGTACAGAGGCTGTAGTCCTCAAAGCGGGCAACACAGGCTCAAATCTGCCCTGTGACTCCTTTTTCCGCATGTCATTCCCCACGCTCTGTGTCCCTGATTTCTGACTCTATCCAGTGTTCTGTCTCTCCAGTAAAGGCACAAAAAGCCCAAAAATAAATCTTAAAGATGAGTAAAGACAAAATAACACATAACCGTCACCATCTTGTAATTTCACAGCAAAAGCTCAAAAACCTGATAGTCAGTTTTCAAATGTTTGCAAAAGAAGCTCATCATTACTCAGTGGTCCCCAACCTTGTTTCCTTGGAGCCCTGCTGGCTTTTATCTAAGAAAAAACTGAGACCTGTGACTTAATGGACATAAAGCAGATTGTCCATAAAGACTATTACTGATTTGTAATTTTCATGACATGATAAATGACCACAAATAAACCAGTTGAATGTTTGATTAGCAATATAGTTTTTCTGCATTAACAAAGTCTCATATAAACTTGTGAATATAACTTTTAAATGATTGTTGTTCTGTATCACAACAACACAAAAGGAGTCAGAAACTGAGAGCCATCACTCAACAAGCCTCGTGTTAAGGTAGGAGCTGGCGAGGGACGGGTCCAGGTTGTTCATGTCGTCCATGTCGTCCTGTCTGTTTCCAGCCAGGATAGCCTGAAACAGAATCACCCTCTGAAGCAGCTCAGCCATGAAGGCGAAGTTGTAGGGGGGCTGCTGTTCTATGAGTCTTTCTGCTGAACCATGTAGACCTTCCCGCTGCATGGTCTGCTCCGCCTCTCTGTACAACTCCTCACTGAAGTGCTGTCCTCCATTTGCTGCCACGAGCTCATCAATCCTCTTGATCAGTTTTACCACCTGTGTCCTGTTCCTCTTTTTCTTGTTGTTGAAGACATGGTATCTGTTTCCGCAACTGTTAATCACCTCTCTAAGTTTGGGGTGGCCAGACTGGACATAGTCACGGATGGACTTTCCCTGCAGCTCGTCACCACGTGTGAACAGAACAATCATGTATCTCAACGCCTCAGAGCCAAAGATTTTCTCCAGAGCTTGTATGCAGTTTTCTTCTTCTTTTGTGAACCTGCCAATCTGGATGACCAACAGGAAGACGTGAGGACCGGGGGAGGACACCTGAATGCACTTGGCAATTTCATTCTTGATTTTCTCTGCACTTTTAGTTGTGTCCAGAATCCCAGGTGTGTCAATCACATGGATCTGTCTGCGACCCTTGGCCCGTTCTATCCTGCAGGTCTCCGTCACAGAACAGGCGCTTGATAGAGATTTGAACTCTTTTTTGCCAATGATGGTGTTACCAACAGCACTCTTCCCAACTCCAGTTTTCCCGATCATCACAATCCTTAGTGGGTCACCTGCAAACAAAAGTTGATTCTGTTAATATAGTACAAAAAAAATCTACCAACTAATTCAAGTATTGACTCAGTGAGGGGATGAAGCAGAGGAATAGTTCAAACTTTACCTTTAGGGATTGAAGAGCCATAGTTCTTCCTTGAGGAGCTGTTGCCCATCTTTATTGCTGTCTTGAAATGAAGAAAAACAAAACCTTACCCATGTTTTTGATTTCTCGACTCCTCCCAAAGGGTGGGTCTACCTTCTTTATATCAGTGTGTTTCATGCTAATAGACTTCAAAGTTTTTCAAGAAATCCCACTGGAAGCAACCAGTCTTCTGTCCTCTATGAACCAGTGAGAATGAGTTCTGTAAAAGCTCCACCTCGTAAGTGAAACATCTTCTTTCTTATTAACTCTCAGGTATTTCTAGGGTGGCTGACATTTCATTTAAATGTCATGATCACTGTCTTTAAAACAACCAAATCTTCTTTAAGAATGACTTTTGACTCTCTGAGTCAAACTTTCTTTGTGTGATTCTATCAGGGAAACAGCTTAGATTCTTTGTTGTTAACTGTTATATATGTGAAATAAATATGAATAGAAATAGGAAATAATGATATATTTGCATGTTGTACTTTATTTTAATTGCTTGACTTTGATATCAGGAGAGCCAATGTGCATATTATTCCCTAGTATTAAAATAAGGGCATTATGTTTTTGTGATTGAATTAGGTTATGCAACTTTCAAGGAGTTTGTTTGAGGATTACAGTAAATATTTTATACATATTTTTGGAAACAGTTCGTTTCATTATAATATTCATGTTTGCAAAAAAGTGGATGGACAGCATTCTTTCATAGCGAGGTCGCTGTCATTCTGGGAAATGAACACACCCCTTTGGCTTACAGTAAAGACAGAGCAAAAAGGAAAGCATGTTTAAAAAAATATGCAGATATTTTAAAAACATTTTTTAAATAAATTTAATAAATAATATAACCTTATTGTGAGCGAACACTGCGTTTTTTCAGCTGTAGCTTCCTTAGGGTCCCCTCAGAATAATCCCATGGTCATACACAGGTGTGTTAAATACACATGACCCATCATCACATTGTACATTATTCAGTGTCATAACCTCAAACAAAAACTCTAGCATGTATCAAAACTACAAGGTGTAGGTATTAGTACCATAAATATAGCTCATCAAAAAATACACATCATGTATGATACAACATGTATGGCTAACGCAGCAGGATATGCTGAATGCAAAAAATAGTTGAACTCAGTACTGCAGCCGTAGATTGAATAAAATGCATTTCTTGCCTTTGATCCAAATATGGTCATTTCTTGTTTAAAGGTCACATATTATTCTCCTCTTCAACCGGTGTAAATAAGTCTCAGAGCTCCCCAGAACATGTCTGTGAAGTTTCTTGTTCTAAATCCACTCTGATCCTGTATTTCATCATGCCTATAAACCCCTCTATTTCAGCTCTGCTCAGAACAGGCTGTTTCTGTGCCTGTACCTTTAAATATGTAAATGAGCTGTGTCTGACCACGCCCCTCTCTGGAAGGGCTCAGGTGTCTTGGTCTTTCTCGCTCCATGTCCTATTGTTTACGGTGAGAAGGTAGACTCAGATGACAGAACAAACACCTAGCTGTGGGAGTGTCAGCCACCTGGGGAGGGGTTACTACCCTTTGTGATGTCACAAAGGGAAAATCTCCAAATGGCCTGTTTGAGCACACATTTTCTGAAAAGTGGAGCAGGCACAAGACTTAGAGGATGGACTTTTCTCATCATTGGGGGTTTGTAGACAGACTAGAGACACATATTAGTGTTATATTATTGAGAAACATAGTAAAGTGCATTCCTCTGAAAACCAAAGCTTCGTAACATTAGGGTCCCTAACTAACCCTAACCCCACGTTAACATCAGTCCACACAAAACTTTGATCGTTAGCCATTTTTGTATGTTTACAACTCACCGCTCTGTGGAAAGAAGAGTATTTGCAAATGCACGTGGTGTTTAATAAGAAAGTCACACCGCCAACTACTGGTTTGGCATATATATTACATGGTTTTTAGTCATTTTGCAGATCTGTGTGTATGATGGTTGTTATCAAAACTTTGTTGACTGAACACAGAACTTTTTTGAAAGCAAAAACAAAACTGATTTAATTTTGAGTGGATCATTGTCGTGTACATTTGGGTTAAGGTGCTTCTGTGTGAGGCAATAGTGTTTCAAGATAGATAAAATGTGGCGTTGTTTTCTTTCCTCTCCAAGGAAATTCTTCAATGCCATGTAAATAAGCTGCTATTTTAAATTAGAAATAAACTAGCTTGACATATTTGCAGTATATAATCTGCAAGCGTTTCAGTATTATTTTTTCAGGTTATGCAGTATCTACAGATTGGGATTTATAACATATTGGTGTTTTTTGTTTTTACAGCATATGGGGGAAAGTTTACCATCGCTCTGTTCGAAATGGGAGATCAGAAAGCCATTGAAGACAACCTTCTCAATGGTGTTATAGATAACTGTATCATGTCGAACAACATTGTCATGCAAGAGAACAACTCATTTAGAGTCATTAACACACATCATTTCTTCGATGAAGAATGTCTGCAACCGGACCAACTGATTATTGACATCATGGCGCTGTCTCATCCTGGCCCGCATTTGTTCATACTGGCAATAGACCCAGACGACACCCAAAATCAAAAAGTTCAGGCTCGAATCAGTAAACTAACTGATACCTTTGGAGAAAATATCATGTCACAACTAGTCGTCATGTTACCAAACGCCAAAACCTTCAACTCACTCGACTATCTGAAAGAATCAAACATCAAACTGATGATGCTTACTGAAGATCTTGCCAATGACTGTAGGAAGTGTTGCAATGGGTTTCCTAAATTCACCTATGCCTACACCAGCTACAGTGAAAGTGTGGTACGTAGAAGAAAAGCAGCCTTGGAGCAAAGAAGGTAAAAATATATATACTTTAACACATTTTCTCGCTACACATGCAAAATAAAAAGCAAAAGGTTTCTTACTTTAGGGCTGGCTTGTGTTTCTCTGGTATTTCTTTATTTAAGGTTTTTTCAACCAATAAGTTTCAAAGTGAGTGTTTCAATTGAAGCCAAGTCAATGAGACAGGGATGAGCATGAGCTAGCCCCAAAGCAGGATGAAAACAATCCCTATACCTGTAATTTCATGATTAACACTAATGATGATGTAACTCTTTTAGAAACGCTGAACATCTGAACCATTGGAGATCAGGTAAGGCTGGGTTAATTACTAAGAGGTGATTGTAGTAGTTATAAGTAAGATGCTCATGTTTCATGTTCTGAATGGGGGATCTGACTAAAAGGGACTGGTAGGATGGAGAGTCATGCATGAGATGGCACAGAACAATCTGGCAAGGAGTGAGAGAGCAGGATAGGCTTATATACTGGCTGGATTGTAGATGGAAAGCAGACGCGTGCATAGGTGAGCCAAGTCGGCTGATGACAAGTTTCAGCAGGAGTAGAGCAATGAGAGTGAATTTTTTGAAGTTTTTCTGTGTCCTTAAAAAGGCGGTTGCTAACAAGTGGCTAAATGAGACTACAGTGGTTGTCGGGGACATTAAAGGTCATCACACCTGACACAGACGCCGGAAACTCTCTCACTAGTCTGTGATGTCTCCTGTAGGTTTAATCTTTGAGGTAAGGCAAATGTTAGGTTAATAAAAAATTTATTAAGCTACGCAGATTAAGTTTATCGGAGATCGTCTGAAGCATAGCGGTAGTGGCATCAAAATCATCCGGCCGTGGTGTAGTTAGCTATAGCATAACGTTAGCTTTTTACTTATGTCGGCTTCGTTAACGCTTCAAACATCATAAACTGTGTTCATTTGTGAAGATTATCGTGCTGAACAAAACGCCTACACATCAGAAATGTGTGTTTGCCACTTAGCTTAATTTCTGCGATGATCCAAAATCCAATCACAAATCAAATTTTTGATAGACCTCATGGTGATGCTACTTACGGGTTGGCCTACAAAAATATCTAATTTGGTTTGTTCTCTATAGTGAGCAGTGAATAGGGAAAGAGTGTGTGATTTCAGAAACAGCCATGGGTTGAGTAGAAAATTACTCACTCAGTTTCATGAATCAATTGTAGACTTTAATTGGAAAACTGAGACAAATGTTGGATATTGAGATGTCTTGTTTGAGAGTCAGTCAAGTAGTCTGAGAACAATGATGCCCCAAACCCTTACAGATCCTCATGGTCAATGGTTTTCAATGTAATTTTGTAAATGGCAGTATGCATGTTATATCTTCACAGGCAATAACGCCATGAGTCAGTCACGCATTGTTTCTCCTGCCCCCGATAGTCTGACACCTGGACGTCACATTGGTATGTTTCTGGGGATACAACACCACACAAACAATTAATATAAAATAATCATGTTCTACAGTAGTCCTTCGCTAATCAAACTTTGTTTTTATGTATTTATTAAGTCAGAAACATTAAAATTGGTTAAACTTGTCCCCCAGGTCACGCAGGCCATGACGTTCCTGAGATACCAAACATTGTTCTGCTGGGACTAACTGGGACTGGAAAGAGTGCATCTGCAAACACCATCCTGGCTGCAGGGACCACCCCGCTGGATTCAAGTCAGATTTTTAAATCTGAACCCAGCTCCATGCCGGTCACAACCCAATGTCAGTTCAGAGAAATCGGGCTATTTGGAACGCAGGTGAGAGTGGTCGACACTCCAGACTTCCTTAACGACCAACTCCAAAACTGCGAGGCCCACATAGAGCAGTGTAAGAGGTACTGTAAGCCAGGGTGCTGCTTGGTTTTACTGGTGATACAGCTCAGCAGGTTCACTGATAAAGAGGTAGGAATATTAGAAAAGCTGGAGGAGAAGCTCTGCTGGAAGATCAGGGAGACTGCAATTGTCCTGCTGACCCATGGAGAGGACCTGCAAGGAGATCTGTTGCAGTTTATTAAGGGACGTCCTCCTCTCAACGATATTGTTGAAATGTGTGAATATCGTTTTCATGCATTCAACAACTCCAAAAAAGACACCAAGCAGGTCAAAAAGCTCATAAAAAAATTTCACTATTGGCAACATTTTTTCCCGCAGTTAGCAAACCAACCACAAGAGTCTGCTTGTCAAATAAGCTAGTTACATGCATAGACTGTAAATATTAATGGATGAAGCCTGGGTGACGTCAGTCATCTGTTCCTGCAGGGGGGTCCGGAGGCTCATCGGCAGCAGCCTCCATGTTGTAAATCCTGTTTCAGTCTAACTTTCAGTCAACCTAACAACAGGCTGAGAGCTGGAGCTGAGGCGGGTTTTAAACCTCTTGACAAACCGTTACATCACGCCCACCTGTCAATCATGTCAGCTACCCGCCTAACTATGGATAACAAGTATCAAAACTGAGCCGTTTAAAAAAAATTCTCCCCCCATGCAGTCTGTGCACGTGATGACAATAACTAATCAGACCTATTTAGTTTTTTGTACCAGGCTGTAAACATGTTTATTTATGCTGTAAAACTGCTTTTTTGGCTGTGGTGTGCATGTGATTAATGGTGTTCCTGGAGCCTCAAGTGGATACTTGATGAACTGCAGGATTTTGCACTTCTGCATTGGCTCCATTTTTCAAGACTGGAGGTTGCCGCTTGGTTATATGAGAGTGAACTGCAACTACTGAAAGTTCTTGAGTTAAAAAGGAACTCTACTGATGCAGCAATGTACAACATCTTACAGTGCATAAAAATCAATGCAGAAGAAATCGACAGGTCACCTTTTTACTGTTCTATCTTGTCACACCTGTAACCTCAGATTACCTACTAGGAACTGCACAACAACCTATAAGAGATTCAGGTGCATGTTGCATTTTTATGCTGTGTTTTTGATTGTGTTCTTTTGATTTCCCTTCAAATACATATATATATTGGGGGAAAGTGTAAGTGTAAGTTTAAACCTCTAAAGTCATGTTAACCTCTCTTTAACTTTATTAGTATGACATCGCCTATCATACTAATGTGACCTTTAAGTCAATTTAATGTATCCCTCTGTCTTTGATGCAAATGGTTTATCACTAACAGACATTTTGTAAAGTTTAATAATAAAGTTGATGATCTTGGTCACAGTTCTGTAATAAAAATACTTTATGGTGGATGTTGATGTATTTGGAGTAACTGTAACGATCGAATTTCCCTCTGGGATTAATAAAGTATTTCTGATTCTGATTTCTGAAATATTGAATACTAAAAACACTTAGCTGAAGAAATGTGAAGGCTGAGAAACCAGACAAACATGTACCAAAATAAATGTGTATCTATGTATTTTTTAATAAGATCCTGTAAATTAACCTAACAGGGTTGAGTAGCCTGATTGAGCTTTGAACCTTTTACGCAAAAATTATTAATCTGTTTTAACATACTCTGTGATTTATATATTATATATTTGAGGATAATATTTTATTGAAGAAGGGGTGGCTTCTTATTGCTACTTAATCATTCATATGAAAGGATTATCTTTGAATTATTCCTAAATTATATCCATCTGAAAAATGTGCTTCCGCTTTCGAGACAATTCATGTAATTTATAGATTTTGTGTGGCTGTATACTTTTGCATTTGCCTGAATTAACCAATTATAAAGAATTTCTGGCAAAACCTTTCAGAATTAAATTTAAAATTAAATGTTATCCTTCTTTGGAGGAATATGTTTTGTTTGTTTGTTTGGGCAGGAAAGTATCACCAGATAACAGTAAGGGGATATGATTTATGATTAATCTTATAATTCTTATGGGCAATGACCAATGTTCAAACCAGTTTATGGTTCATACAAGTAAATTGATGACAATATTTCTATTAATTCAAGTCTGAAAAAAGACTAATTATTGTTTATTTTATGTTTTATTTTATTAGAATGTTTATAGATTTTGTTTAAATAGATACATTATCATTTCTGTGAATGTTTTCGCATAATAAGCTTTAGAGAAATAAACAAAACAAAATACAGACGATCTTTGATGAATCGTCATCATTTGGCCCGGCGCGAGGCGATGACGTCAGCATCAAGCGACACGACAGCCTGCTTTCTGGCGTTAGCGGCAGGCAGGTGGACAGAGATGGCTGCGCCCACAGAGCGGTGTAGCGGCTGCGGGGGAGGCTCTGCTGGGTGTCCGGGGTCGGTGAAGCCCTGGTTGGGGTTCGCTGTGCTCCTGTTCACGGTTTGCTCCCTACCGACGGTGTCCGCGCTGGTGGAGGGCCTGTACTGCGGCACGGAGGTCTGTTACGATGTGCTCGGCGTCACCCGGGAGGCCGCCAAGGTGGAGATCGCCCGGGCTTACCGGCAGCTGGCCCGCCGGTACCACCCGGACCGGTTCAAGGTGGGAGAACCGGGCATGGAGGGAGAGACCCAGGAGACGGCCGAAAAGAGATTCCTGCTCATCGTGACCGCGTACGAGACGTTAAAGGTCGGTCAAAGAGTCTGTGAAGTGTTTAGTCTGTAACTTTGTCAAGCAGCAACTTCAACATATATATATATATATATATATACGTGTTCCCCTGTCCCTCTTTAAATCCTCCCACAGTGCTCCTTCAGTGATTCAAAGTGTGTTCATATTCTAATAATGACCCTGAAGACTGTTTCATTGTTATTCATGTTAGTCTAAATGCATCTTCCATACATTAGCAGTCATTACTTACTACCTTTGGCATGTTCACAATTTTCTTTTTGTGTTTGCAGTATGTGTGCTCACTAGTGCTGAATCATATTGGAAAAAGTGACACTGTGATATAATTTCTGTCTGCGATGAGAAAAATACATGAAGTCATGACGAATAAATGCAACCGACTTTAATATGGGCGATTGTGATGTGTAATAATGTTCCATATGGTGATAAGGATATGACATGGGATAAATGTACTTCTAATGAAGAATGCAGTTATTTGGAGTACGCCTGCATGACATCAGCAGCTGTACAGCAAGATTTAGAAATTGTGTGACAAAAACTGTGTGCAGATATTGCAAGAAGACCGGGAACTACACAAACAGCACAACCAACATGATGCAGCATTTAATCCACACCACAACGAGAAGCTCCAATCACCTCCCCTTGTTGAGAAAAAGGAAACGTTAAAAGGCCAAACCACAATGACAAGTGAGCTGTTTGCAGCTCCTGAAGGATCCTTTTTTCATTCATCATTTGTCTTCAGTTTCATTTTGTAAAATAAATTGTGAGATAGGTGGATCGTTGCTTCCCTAACATTGTGCAGTAATGCAATAAATGAACAAAAAGTGCATACTAACTGTAACACACGGTTTTTATTTCACAACCAAATGTGCACCAGTTCTTCTGAGATTAGCTGATAGCTTCATTTGACTGTTTCAACATTACATTTGAGCATGGCTGTATTACACAGGCCTCGACGTACACCGTGTGATTTCAGGCCGATTTAGACTCGATTTTTAAGTCGTGCGACTCATTTTGAAGTCGGGGCAAAATGTCAGCCCACTCATGTGTAGTCGGTCATTCTGTGTACACTAAGGCACGCCAGCCAATCACGACCCAATCAGCTGCTCCGGACTAGTTGGAGGAATTTCTGGCAAACAAGAAAGCTTAAAATCCAATTTCTACTTTTGCATGTGTTCATGAAGAACTGTTGTGATCGTCATCAGAGAAACCTTCAGATAAAAACAGATGTAATGTGTCTCTGTCCGTGTCTGCAGGATGAGGAGACTCGGCGGGACTACGACTACATGCTGGACCATCCTGAGGAGTACTACCAGCACTACTACACATACTACCGCCGACGGCTCACACCCAAAGTGGACGTCAGGGTCGTCATCCTCGTCACCATCTGTGCCATCTCCATCTTCCAGGTACGACTGCAGCTTTCAGCGCCGCCACACACGACTTACACATTCTGGAAATCTCACTCCATACTTCTAATATCAGGGGTGCAAACTCATCAAGGATGAAAAAGGTGACATGGATCCAAACATCCTAGTGGGGTCCGGGGGCATGCTTTAAAATGTGATTTTACAGACGATTTTAGCATTCAGACCGACTGAAGAAGCAGTGCAAACAATAAGAAAAACACAATTGCTTGTCGATATCTATGTTCTGTTTTAACTTTTTGATAAAGCTTCAGTGAAACATGAAAAACCTGTGCGCCCAACCTTCAGTCCCTTTTTATAAATGGGATGAATTTGCAGAACAGGGCTTACCATGTTCCACTAAGGTGTGATGTGAAGGGCAGTCACTATTCAAGTAGCTCTCAGAGCAGAGTCTGAGAGAACATCATAATACAGTCATCAAGGATGACAATATTTTCTCCTCTATCATTAAATATGTAACATTATCAATATATGAACCTGATGTTTTGCTCCTGCTGATTTTCATTAGGTTTATATTCCCTCTCTTATTACATGTGTTGACACTGTCACATGTGCTGTCACTTTAATGTTGGCTGAGATAATAATGAACCAGAAAGCTGTATGAAGTTACCTCCAGCTAGCACACATTTCTCTCATCATCTTTACCTATGGCTACCAAACGTTTAACATGATCAGACAGACGTTGAACAGAAAGGCTGGCTTGCTAGCCAGACTTCGAATCTTTCCACAGTGTTTTCACGGAACAATACTGTTATGTAAATTAGCCATGTGCTGTACATTGACTCATTGAATCAGGTCTCATGCTTCTTGCGGTCGGCGCAGCGATATTGCGCAATCGCAGTCGTAGCGAGAGGAGGGTCTGCGGAGGGTCTGAGCGCCGACCCGCTCACCGTGCCGACCGCGTTGCAATGATTGGCTACAGGGCCCGGAAGTACTTTCTTCGGGCCGTGTTGAGCAATCAGAGCGCTCTGACCGCAATCAGTATGAAACGACTAGACATTTGCAGGGACCGTGCTCGCCGTGTCATAGACCCCCCACCCCCCTCCAAATATTTTTTATTGCAGGTCTAAATGAATCACACATACGACCTATTTGGGATCCAAAACGGCGAATTTTGCCGAAAGGTGACAAGTTTGCACCCGAATATATAATCCCACCTCCCTGTCTCTCCTGCAGTACTACAGCTGGCACAGCAGCTACAACGAGGCCATCAACTACCTGGTGACCGTCCCCAAGTACAGAATCCAGGCCACCGAGATCGCTAAACAGCAGGGCCTCCTCAACCGCACCAAGGAGAAGGGCAAGAACCGCCGCTCCAAGGAGGAGATCCGAGAGCAGGAAGAGGAGGTGATCCGAGAAATCATCAAAACAAAGATTGACATTAAAGGAGGCTACCAGAAGCCCAACCTGTCTGACATCCTGCTCTGTCAGATCGTCCTCTCTCCTTACTACTTTACCACCTACGTGGCGTGGTACATGTCCTGGATTTACCGCTTCACCATCTGCAGGGAGGAGTACGGAGACGAGGAGAAGCTCTACATCATTAGGTCAGACCTTACAGCAGTGCTAACTAAGAAACACTGTTCAGGGATGTACTTGTGTTGTTAATCATCTTTAATTACCCTTGAAGATCTTAGTTGGAGAGGTGCTGGTGGCGCAGTGGTTAGTGCGCGCGCCCCATGTATGGAGGCAATGGTCCTTCAAGCGGGTGTCCTCACCTGGTTCGAATCCCACATGTGGCTCCTTTCCCTCATGTCATTCCCCACTCTCTCTTTCTCCAATTTCCGACTCTATCCACTGTCCTATCTCTCCATTAAAGGCCAAAACAAAACAAAAATAAGATAAATAAGATCTCATGGTGTTCATCTCGATCTCATCCTGCTGATTTTAAAAGGACAGCAGTGAGCTGTTTGAGTTCAGTTGAAGTGCTGCATACGCCCTCCTGAGTAACGATATCCAGCCGCTTATGAAATGTAGGGTGAAAGTATGAGACTATTTGGTATTTTCTTGATGGGTGCCATTTGGAAGAGCCATGAAAGTCTTTAAATTCTACTTCTGTTACATGTGTTTTTTTTTTTACTGCTTTATTCACTGTTTAAGCTCTTGTTGGTTGTGGCCGTGTTCACCAGAAATTTTGCAGTGATTATGTCGACAGCAGTCACCTGTCCACCTGGGTTTTTTGGCTTAAACGGAGAGAGGGAGGTAACCTGGGAGCTTAAACTTTCTGTTGACCCCCACAATTCATTGCACTGTAATCGCACACAGATTTTAAGATCTGGAAACTGTTTCCTGTGTTTATAGAAATCAGTGATGCAGAAGAATTTACCAAAATGCAGGAAATAAAGTTTTATGAGCAACTTATCTGATGGAAGACCCCCAAACACCAACTTATTGTATGTTCCTTGTGCTGGCTGGTCGTAGTCAATGAAACAAACAATTTACTGGCTTTTACCGAACAGATATAGCTCTGGATTCAGCTGCTGTCACCCACAGACGTAAACTATAGTTTAAGAGTTTGTGCAGTTAAAGTTTGATAAGTGCTGCTCTTTTCTTATAATCCTTTTCCAATCACACATCTGAGCTCACAGCTGTCTCTGTTTGAACCCTCAGGAGGCACATGAAGATGTCACAGTCTCAGTTTGACAGTCTGGAAGAACACAACAGAGAAACCTTCATGGAGAGAAAACTCTGGCTCAAAGAAAACTACGAGGTTAGTTTCTTAAATTCTCTCACTGGAGAGGTGCGTGTGTGAACAACCAGACCAGGAGGATTTCAGGGACGGCCCTCCCGAAAGCCGGCCACCTAGAAACTGCCGCTGGTAACCATGACGATTTGTCTTATAGGTTTACAAGAAGGAGCAAGAAGAGGAGATGAAGGTGAAGATGGCGACCGACCCGAGGATGAAGAGGTACCGTCGCTGGATGAGGAACGAGGGGCCAGGGCGGCTGACTTTCATCGACGACTGACGACCACGAGAGCCGTCTGCGACAAACACGCCTGCCTCAGTGCCGACAAACACGGACACACACGACGTGCTGTGTGGAGGAACGCCTTTACACAAAGTTAACTATGCCTGTTTAAACAGTGAGAGATATTTTCATAGCAATCAGGACTCATAATGAAGATGTCCACGTGGAATAAAACTGTGAGCATTGGCTGCTTATTTTGGAGCATTTTTTTTTTTTTTTACATCATGCTACTTTTTCAAACCAGCTTTATTTCAAATGAAGTTTACCGAACAATGTTTTTTTTTTTCTCGGTGTAACATCAGATGGATGAAAGACATTTTTTGTGCAAGGCGCCATGCAAGCCGAAAGCTCCCAGTTTGTCTGGCAGCGGCCATCACTACTGTCCTTTGTGTCTTTTGGAAAGGCATCAGACCGCCACCTGCTCACTATGTATGCTGCTTCAGACCGGCAGCTCACAGGCTGTTAGCATTTGTTGCTTCTTTGGTGAATAAATCACGGCCAGACACTTATTTTTGTTTGTTTTCTGTGATATTTGATTGAAGGCTAATTCTGTTATTTTTAAACCTCTGCTCGGATTTCACATATTGAAGGCTCTAAATGATTTTTGAAATTGCCCCAGTGATGCTTCACTAGCCGACAGCAGTCCGTCTGTAATGGCTGCAACGTGATTTAGGGGGCAACATGTGTCTTTTTAAAAGAGTGTTAATCTCAGTGTCTGACATCAGTACAGAACGGATCCCTTCAGAGATAGACCTTTTTATTTAAAGGCCACATATGATCCTTCTCTCCAACTATTTTAAATAAGTCTGAGAGCTCCACAAAACATGTCTGTGGAGTATCTAAATCCACTCTGATCCTGTATTTGATCATGCCTATAAACCCCTCTATTTCAGCTCTGCTGAGAACAGGCTGTTTCTGTGTCTGTACCTTTAAATATGTAAATGAGTTGTGTTTGACCACGCCCCCTCTCTGGAAGGACTTGGGTGGCTCGGGCTTTCTCGCTTCATGTCCTATTGTTTACGTTAAGAAGGCAGAATCAGAGAACAGAACAAACGCCTAGCTGTGGGAGTGTCACCCACCTGGGGGAGGGGTTACTGCCCTTTGTGATGTCATGAAGGGAAAATCTCCAAATGGCCTGTTTGAGCACACATTTTCTAAAAAGTGGAGCAGGCAAAAGATGGAGACGATGGACTTTTCTCATCATTATATACAGAGCCTTATACCCCCACTCAGATCTTTGGCCCTGGACACCAGGTTGTAGACCAAAGCTTTAGAGCAGTGGTTCTCAAACTTTTTAGATTGCGTACCACCTCCGAAAATATTTGGCTCTCCAAGTACCACCATTATGGTAGATGTTAAAGAGCCCATATTGTGCCATTTTTGGAGTTCGTATATTTAATCTATGTACCTACTTTTGTACGTTCACAATAGCTCAAGTCCGAAAAAAGTATCTGTTTTCATGTACTGCTCCTCCTTGCTCCCTCTACGCTCTGCTGAGCCCCCACTGCAGAGCCCCACGTGGGCCAAGTCTGCTGTGATTGGTCTGCCGATCCGCTCTGTTGTTATTGGTCAGTTGCTCAGCACGGTTCTCGGAAATGTCCCGCCTCTTTTACCATATTGGGAATGCAGCCACTGGCTCCGTCCGAGGGGAGCATAAACATTAGCACCTTAGCACTACTGTGCTACCGCAGGCTACGGCATATTGTGGACGTGCTACAGAAGTTAACGGGTGTGCAACATGAGCTGCTGGGCTTGCCACAACGAGCCAATGGGCTTAGATCAGTGATCTCACACTGACAAGACGTCACACTGACAAATTTTTATCGAGGGGGGGCTAGAACCGAGTGTTACATGCAGCTAATGCTACAGCTAACAGGAGGATGTAGGAGAAGCTGCGTTTCCACGGACTTTGAATTTTTGCAAATAGATGTGCCTAAACATGCACAGGACACTTGGAAAACACACTAAAGAGCATATAAAACCAGAAAAAGCATAATATGGGACCTTTAAAATACACTGTAGGCCTATTTCAACACACATTTCATGCAAGAGGCAAATTAATTCATTTATTATTGACAGCTGGCAGCCACGCTGTAGGACTACTAAGGTCTAGTGCTAGAACTTGCACACACAAAAGTGCAGCACAATAAAAATTACAACTTTATACCAACAACCTGTTTGGAAATATTTAGTCTCCAGTGTTTCCCTCACAAAGACGATACCTGGGCCCAAGTATATTTCCGACCTGTTCTCATTACATTTTTCATTTATTCATAAAATTGCTGCGTGCCTGAAAGAGCACGAGAGTGCAGGCGCACGCTCCGCAGGCTCGGTGCAAACAGCGCCGCTGTATTATAAGTCTCTGCGTTCAACATAGCAAAACTGCCTTTTAAAAAAAAATCCCTCTCGACTCCTACGGAGTGTTACGACCGCAAAAGAGAGCAGAATCACATCAGCTTCAGAGCTACAGAGAGAGAGAGAGAGATAGAGGGAGGGGGAGCGATAAGGTCCGCTGTCCGTACATGCATCACAACTGAAGCTTCTCCTGGCTCCGTTTTAAAAATGTTCATGTACAGCTGCTTGTGTGCTGAATTCCAATAAATAACAGAATATATGTTAATGTAGGCCTACATTAACAAAATATCTGTTAATGTAGGCCTACATTAAAATATATTCTGTTAGGCCTACAGCTGCTTTCTGTTGTTTCAGTACTGAACTATAACGGAATATCGAGTGGAACTTTTCAAAACGCGAGGCGTACTCCTGTTGTTGTTTATGTCTCTGCGCGAGCATAAATTGAGCAGATTAAAGTTGTTTGTTGCAAAAACTAGATTAATTTAGAGAGGAAAACACACTTGATATAAATACAACTCAGTAGATACAAGAGAGATAAGAGTACAACAAAAAAATTGTAGTTTTATGCTGAACGGGTTTGTTTTTTATTGTGGAGATTTCTTTGCGTACCACCTCAGGGAGCCCACGTACCATAGTTTGAGAACCACTGCTTTAGTGTATAAAAGCATAAAATGAGCCGCTATCTACAGACAGAGCATCTCACGTCTTATGTGTCAACAATGATGCACTGAAAGTTTTCTACAGTAGCCCAAAGGGGACAAACTAAACACTGGCTGTAGTTTTTTGACGGCTTCAGCCCCCGCTGGTTCTCCACACTTTATGAAATGATATTAAAAAACAAACATGCCATTTCAGGTTTCCTTTAACAATAAAAAGTATTAACATACATTTCAAAACATACAAAAACGAACAATACAAGGCAGAAGGATGATAGAAGGCCAATGTCATTCCCACTTCAATAATCAATACATTATAACATCAATAATCAAATATAACAGTGAAATGTTCTGGCTGAATCGGACATAAAAATTGTTTTTGATTCAAGTCGTTTGCAAATACGAGTTCACGGATTGACCTCGTCCTGCTGGGATGGTCACAATCAGACCTTGCTTCATGAAAAACAAAACAGAGACAAGTGCAGGAACAACAGACCACCGGGGAATCTGTCCTTTTTTTTTTTTGTGCGGTTGGTTATAATGAGAGCTGTAATCTGCCCGGCGACTAATTACATCACAGGAAGTACTCAGACTGAAGGTGTTACACTCCCTACTTTACTCAGACGGGACGTTGAAACCTTCTCCATCTCTTCATAATAAAAAACACCTGACTGTGTCCTCTCTTACTGCATACATACTATCAAACACACCTGATTATCATTTTCAATCCAAATTAAAAAACTGGGATACCTTTAAAGGCAGAGTCAGCAGCTGCTTCCTGGAAAATAAAATAACAACTTATACTAAAGGAATGTCGCTCAATCATCAGTTCTGGGCCTCCGTACATGTGTGGTGGTGACTGTGTCTGCAGAGACTGTCTGTCCTCTGACTGGATGTTCTGGTTGATTCTGTACGTTTCTTGGGGGGAGCTGGTTTTCCTCCAGCTGATGACAGCCCCAATGCAATTCAGCTATTGGTCGCAAACTGGGAATGCGACTGACGTGGACGTAGCGGTAAAGGGGAGGAAATATAATCACAGTGAGGCGAAGAACAAGCGGATAAAGCTCGTTTTAAAAAGAGGGTGAACCTTTTGTTGGTTTCACCTGCAGACTCTGAGTTTGTCTGCTGTCTTTTGGGAAAGCCAGGTGACAAACATCGGTGGTTAGCTTGTGCTAGCGCGCGTTAGCTTGCAGTGTAGAAACAAGAAGTAAACGCACACACTACGTCCTGCAGTGAGTTTGAGCTTCTGGGGGCCGATGAGCCCAGGAGGAGGGGGCCCGGTTTGAATGTTGTGTTTAAAAGCTGCAATGAGAAAAAGCTACTGACTCCACCTTTAAGTTATAATGTCATCAACTAAGACAGAAAATAACTGGAATCAAGCCTTTGAAACAGAAAACTCTGCTGCAGCTCTACAGGTCATTAGATTTCTTGTTAATTCTGTTGACAATTTCAGTCGAACATATTCATAAACTGTCCATGAATACTCTCCTCTTCTCCTCTGGGGGGTTTAAGGTGCATTTAACGAAGCTTTCCACGCCTTAAATCAGCAACTCGAGCCAGTAAGAATCCTTCACTGTTTCAAATTCAAAAAAGAGGAACGCATGAAGAGTCCGTCTGGGTCTGTGAAAAGTTTTTTTTAACATCAAAACAAACCGCCAAGGAGCAAAAGGAGCTCTGGCCGAGTTGCAGCGTCCTTTTTCTCTTCATCGAGGACGTAGAAAAGACGACACGAGAGCGAATCAGAAGGCTTCAGTGAAATCACAAGAACGAAAGCGGTCAATCGTCTTGAACAACAAACAACTGCACGACATGAAGGGTTTTTGGCAATTATAAAAAAGTCTTCTTCTTTTTCTGAAAGCTCAGTTTGTAGCTGTGGATGTCTCCAGATGAGGATTGTTTGAGCGTCTTGTGAGTGTTCAGTCTGTGTTGGTGAATCTGGAGCCTGTGTGAGTCTTGTTTAGTTCATCAGTAAAGAGGACATGAAGGACATTCTGTCTGAAGTTCTTTCTAGTGTTTTAAATAAACTTTAAGCTTGTTAAAGTATTTGTATTATTATTTTACCCTCCCTCATTTTCAAGGCTTCAGAAAGTCTCTCTCATGGAGGTCAGACTTTTAGGGCTAGGCGTTAAAAAAAAACAAGATTCATCGTGTTTAAATCTCTTCCTTTGACACGTTGAGAACAAACTTTTAAGTATAAGTGCCAGGCTTTAAAAATCAAATAATTTATACCTACATGAGATACATTTTAATTCTCATAAATGCAAAAGGACATTATAACATAAAGATGTTTTGGTTTTTTTACACGTTGCCCTTACATTTCTACGGAAGCCCTCAGCCGACACACTTCCATATATTCTATTTTTCTCAGTCTACCTGTAAGTTGTTTTAGTTCTTTTCAAGACACCTCAACTTATTTATCTCCTGATTTTACGGGTTTTCACCATGATAATGAGATTATTTCTCGAGATTTCAAAATAAAAGGCCTAAATTAATAGTTTTTCCACCAAAAGCCAGTGCTATAATCTGGAGATAAATAAGTTGTGATCTCGAGAAAACAGAGAAATCGGTGTTGAATAAAAAGTGCTGATGTATGTCACAATCGGGCTTCCGTAGCGGACACACTTCCATACATTTTATTAATCTCAGTCTACCCGTGATAACAAGTTATTTCTGTTGCTTTCAAGAGATCTCAACTTATTCATCTCCTGATTTTGGGGTTACAATCACAGGTTTTCCTTTGATAATGAGATAATTTCTCAAGATTTCAAAATAAAAGGCCTGAATTAATTATTCTCCTGGGAAAGCCAGCGCTGATATCAACTTAGATAAATAAGTTGCGATCTCTTGAAAGCACACAGAGTGAACCTGTTATCATAGAAATCAGTGTTAAATAAAATGTGCTAATGTGTGTCCACTTTGGGCTTCTGTAGATTTTCCATATAAATTAGCTACTTAACCAAACTATTGTTTGTTCTTAAGAGAAAATTAAACCAAAGTTAAAATGTCAAGATACTAATGCATAGTAAAGAAAATTACTAAGTTAATACTACGGAAGTATAAGACGGACATGCATCAAAACCTTTCATTTCACTTTGTTTTCTTATAATAAAAAGTTAACATCAGGTGTTAACACGATAGATAAGTCAAGATGTCGATATCTTGAGTAAACAACAATACTGTTTTAACAGTGAGTATCGTTTCCTGGGGAATAATTGTTAGACAGCATGTCCAAAAAAAATTAATTTACCCTCGCAGGATTAATAAAGTATAAATAATTATTAAAATCATAGTTGTGGAAATTCAAATATTCTGTACTTTGCGTATAAATGTTTGAAACACTCCAAAGTTTAAGGTTTTTTGTAATTATTTGAAAGTAAACTAAAATGAAGTCAAACTGTTTTGGAAGTCCTGATTCAGAAAGTCATCATTTGCTTTAGAAACTAAAATATTTTTTCTGTGTTTTGCTTCTTTTTATGGCAGCAGTGGGCTTCCGTACTGTCGTGATGCCGGTCCTGACTGCTTAAATCAGACAACAGATTACGAAACTATCAAAACACTACAATGTGTTGTTGAGGGTCCTGATTGAGGGGTCCTCAATGCAAACACAAGCTCCATCCATCCAGGTGATTTTTGTTTTGTTTTTTATCCAAACCTTCATTTCTTCTTCTTCTCATGTTCGGAGCAAACAAAAAAAACTCCAGATTTCAAAAAGGCTGAAGATTTAGTTTCTCTTGCTATAGTCAAAACAAAATCTTTGGACGCCTGTACGCGCCTGCTCGTTCCTCTTAGGGTTCTCTTGAATGTTTTGGACGTTTTACTGAAAACTGTCTAAGAAGATTACAAAGTCTCCATGACAACCGTCTCCTTCCGTCTTGAATATTCCTGCGACAAAAAAAGATGATTTTCAAGAAGTATGAATCCTTTCTTCCTCTTCTTCTGTTCATGAGTTATTTCAAAGTGTCTTTTTTATTCTCTCGTCTTTGATGATGTGAGGGACAAGCGTTTGTTTTGAAATACTTCTGATGTTTTGTGTCTCTGCAACATGAGAGGGGGGAAACTCTTACGATGTCTTGACCAGGTCGTAGACGTAGATGAGGAAGTCGTCGTCGAACTTGATGAAGTAGACGGAGGGTTTGGCCTCCACTTGGTGGATGACCATCCCCGTTCGCTTCCCGCCGTCCTCTTTGGCGTACTCGACCTGCTTGCCCACCAGGCTGTCCACCACCTCGCCGGGCTCCCTCTCTGCTGGGACGCTGTCGTCTACAGAGGGGCAAAGAGAGACGCAGTGATCAGAGACCTCACCTGGATTGTTTCCTCATGTAGGACTAATCCAACTTAACAGACTTTTAAAAACAGAATTCTCGTCTTGCAGCTTGTCATAGGGTTTAAAAATGGCGAGATAACTTGACTCACTGGAGTCGGGCATGATGCGGAGGTCTCCCTCTTTGTAGTCGTCCAGCAGCTGGTACATGTAGAGAACGGGGTCTTTCTCGTAGGTGATGTAGAACCAGGTGGTCATGATGGGAGCTCGAGCCAGCACCATCCCCCTCCACTCCTCCTTGGGACCCTCCTCCGTCTCAAACATGTGCTCCACCGCTTTACCGATCATGGTGTCCGCCAGGTTCACATCTGTGAGGCGAGATTTAGCTGCAAAAGGAAAGACAAAAGTCACTTTTCAGATACTCTTACCTGAGAAACAGCACTCCTAAAACCAGGGGGCAGGGTCTATTCCTGCAGCATTTTATCAACACTGCGTTGTCCTACCGAGTCTATCGGGGAGCACCTCCAGTCCCTGAACCCTCTCGTCTTTGTGGAGCTCCAGACCATAAACGCAGTCAAAACCATCGTACTTGATTAGATAGAGAGACGGGTTCACCGGTACCTGGGGGATAAATAAACATTAATATACACATATGAACAACCGAGCCAGGACACAGCGGACCCCCCCTGCTCACCTGGTCCAGCACGCTTCCTTTCCAGATCACGTGTCCTCCTCCCTCCTTCCACACGTGTTGGATCCTGCAGCCGACGATGTTACGCCGAGGCTGCGACAGAACCTTCGTGGTCGGACCCAGACTGCTCTTATGTTTCCTTCAAGACACAACACATCCACATGATCGTGTTTATTGTTTCACTTTGAGTCACACAGGAACCTTCTCTCAAATTATCATCCAAATGTTTTTTTCTAAAAAACAATCATGTCTGATTACTTTGGAAATAAATGCAACCTTCTTCACTCACTTGTGCGGGTTCTTCTTCTTCATCATATTTGCAGAAACACCTTCATGCCCTGAGGAGAAAACAGACACCACAGCACACTCAGCTACAAGCGGTGTTTTGGAAAGGTCACCCAAAATACAAACAACCTTTAAACTCGGACGTGTTTTTGTCTTTTGTTGCATAGAAAATGAGCAAAGGCGTCTTTAATTCTTCATGTCAGTACTCATCCCCACACTCACCAAGGACATCACATCCTAAAGATTTAAACAGAAGCTGCTAAGACACAGACAGGGAAGGCTTATCTGAATGATATTAGAGGATAAATGATTAATAAAAGTGTTGAGCTGGAAGGAAAATGCAGCTTTTCTGTGGGCTTTGCACCAAAATGACTATCTTCAGGAGGCTGCCATCTTTAGCAAATATAAAATAAAGACTTTTTAAAGTATATCATACTATCATAGTGAAGACCACCATCTGCTCAGCTGTGATGCTCTGCAACATTAGCTGAAGATATAGACTGTGGCCTTTCCGAAAAGCCACAGTTCAGTATGCAGTGCAGACTTTTCAGTAGACTGAATCCTTGTGGTCGCTCAGTGGTCATTTTCTGGGTTCATCTCAGCAGACTGAACATTTCAGCATGGATACTAACTTCTGGGTTTCGTGCAGTATGGTTTGGATGCATCGTTTCAGGAAATGAGTTGTATTTTAACACCCGCAATGCTGTGCGAAATTAAATGGAAAACGTCACTCCACATCAAAACAAACGAGGACGGAAAAAACAAAACAAAAAAACAAGGATGGATGCGGCCAGACTCTCTGCTGTGTGTGTGTGTGTGTGTGTGTGTGTGTGTGTGTGTGTGTGTGTGTGTGTGTGTGTGTGTGTGTGTGTGTGTGTGTGTGTGTGTGTGTGTGTGTTGACTGACCTGCATCAGCTGTGTCTCTGGGTCCCGGAGCGTTCTTCATTCATCTGGAGGCAGAGAGGCAGCCAGGCTGCCCGGCCACACTCACCTGTTCAGAGCCTGAACCACAGAGAAGACAGAACCTCATGTCAGTAAATAAATACTGACCCACAAACATCTGTCCAAATCCTGCTGGTCTGGAGTTGTGACCTTTACTGACATGTAGTGGTAGAAGAGTGGAAGTACAACAACATCAACCGACCTGAGAGGGCTGACTGATCATCATACAAATGATCACACAAACTTTCATCAATGTGTTCAAAGATGCATGTTACTGCAGGTTCAGCAGTTTTTACCTAGTCTCCAGACTTGAGGAGTGTCGGTGAGATGGTCAGAAGTCTTTCAGGTTTCAGGATGATCATCTGCAGAATGAGACCAAACCTGTGATAAGAAAACATCAAGACAAATATTGGACTCAACTGGAAGATGATTCATTTGGAAGCTTGATCCTAACCTCCAACAATAAGTTACTGAAGAATGTGCTGCATACATGAACATTGTTAAAAACTGGGCTTCCTTGATTCTTTTTCAACCTGAGATTAAGATGTACTTCATCAGTAAACTATCCTGTCACTGTTTCTGCTTGTGGCCAGCAGGTGGCGACAGTCGGCCGCTCGTCTGACAGTGAAGGTGTCTGATGTCTGATGTTTGTTGTCCTCTGGGTGAAATCTTGCATAATGCCCTGAACTCTGACTGCAGGCTGCATTATTCATCATCATCAGCACAGATCTCACCCCTTCATGTTTTATTCATCAGAGCTTCAGTCAACACAACAGCTCCGTTTATGACATAACCAACAGTCATCAGACACTTCACTGAAGCAGGTGAGGGTTTAATGCCTTCTGCCCATGGGGCACTTCAGACAAACTTCAGACAAACTTCAGACAAACTTCATGACCACATGTTAAGTTTAGACCGCTCTGTACATAGACTGATAATCAGGGTTTGTTACGACAGCAGCTGTGGCTCAATGGTAGAGTTGATCAACTCTCAACCGGAAGGTTGGGGGTTCAAGCTCCTGCAGCCACATGTCCAATGTGTCCTTGGGCAAGACACCTAACTGTCAGTGGTGTGTGACATACAGCGGGACTGTGTGATTGCAATTGCAGGAAAACAAAAAACATGCTCTGATACTCTCTGATTTAAAGCAAGTAGCACAATAACTTTCTTCGGGGAGAATAGCGTCTCTCTAATGTCCACAGATCACCCCGATCGCCTGCTTATAGCACTATAAGTTTGGCAGCAGGATGAAGTTCTCTCGAGAGAAGTAACTACTGTTTTACGGCACTAGTTCAGAAACCAGACCTCAGTTTTTAAAAGCAGCTAGTTAGCTCATCTCTGTACTGTTTGATTCAATGTCTGAGGCTAAGAGGAAGATGATGGACAGATGATGCGAGGAAGAGAAAAAGAGAGAGTGACTGAGGAAGAAGCAGAGTGTTCATCCCTGCAGATATTATTTAGAACAGGCTGAGACATAGCGTTAGGCTGTATCGTTGTCTCATGTTTAGCAGCTTTACCAGCTGCAGAAATGTTTGCATACAAATAAATATATAAATACATCTTGTGCCAAAACATGCGTCTAAAAAGAGGCTGCAGATGAGAGCAGAGTGCAAAATCTCAGAGTATTGTTGTACCTTGTCATCGTTATGTTTCTTCAGTTTCTAACAACACCGCTCCTCTGCTTGTCAACATTTGCACGCTGTCTGTGAGGGGGAGCAACAACCACATGGTGTTTTATGGAAGTGCAGTTACACTCAGACACCTTCAGTGGGCGCCAAAGTGCACCAAACTGAATTCCCACCTAATGTTGCTTTAAATATGGTTAGCCTACTTCTAAAAAGCAAATACTCAAAACACAACGACCAAAAAAATTAGTGACCAACAGCGGACAAATCCAGTTCCTAAATACAGTCTGTGAGCCTGAAGCTACACCTCATCACTATAACACTCTCTAACACCTTTCATAATCTTTATGGAACAATCGACAAACAACCCAACTTACTCTTATGCATCTAAATGTGTCAATCTAAAATTGACACCAAGGTTTTCAACCTGAATTTGTTGGACATGTTCTCCCCTTTACTAGATTAAAACTTGAGTATTGTACAGAACAGACTCTACCATCTGAAGGTCTCTAAAAAAATAAAAATAAAAAGCTTAATGTGAAAATCTGAGCAGTGCGAGTTCAGCCTCCAAAAAGGTTTCATGTCCCGAACATGAGACTTCAATTATTGACCAGCAGATCCTGTGAGTGAAGCCTGTGGTGTATTATTTATCTGCAGACGGGGTGTTGTGTAACACACGTCACCCTCTGAATGCTCACTGTACCAAAATCAAATATTACAACCCAGATTATGTAAAGGAGAACGGGGAACATTCAAATGTCAGCAACAGTGAAAGTATCGTTTTCTTCAACGGAGATATTTGGCTATCTGCATATCTGCCAACCTGACTTAGAATAATTGTATCCAGACAAATCTGAAGCTTGAATCCAACCTAAATCCTGGAGTTAGTGTTTAGCTTGATTGCTTTGATTATTGTTTGTTCAAAGGGCTTAAACACAACAACAAAGTTTGAATCATGTGGATGCAGATAATAACGCAGATTTTAGCTGTTTTCACCGATGCACTAAAAATTTCAGGGAAACGTTAGTCGCCTGAAATCTTCCTGAGTTGCTGGAGTCAACAGCTTTTTCCTCAAAAAACAAAATAACAACTTATATAAAAGTAAAGCTGCTCAATCATCACTTCTGAGCCTCCGTACATGTGTGGTGGTGACTGTGTCTGCAGAGTGACTGTCCTCTGCTTGGACTGGTGTTTGCCCCAGCCAATGACAGCGCACAAAAGAGTTCGGAAGTAGATACAATTCAGTGATTGGACGTGATTCAATATTATGACAGACGTTGATGTAGCAGCAAAGAAGAAAATAATTGCCAAGTGGATAAAGTTATAAAAAAAAACGATGGTCAACCTTGTGTTGGCTTTTACCCGCGGACGAGGAGTTGGTCTGCTTTTGGACAAACAGGTGTCAAACTCGAGCGGTTAGCTTGCAGTGTAAGCACAAACAGTAAACATACACACTACATCCTGCAGTGAGTGTGAGCTTCTGGAGGAAATGAGCCCAGGAGAAGGGGTCCTAAAAATAAGGTTTCTTTAAGGAACAGAAAACTAATTTCATTTTCAGACTTTCTCTCACTGCTGGTTACCTGCAGAGGAAATAAACGACCAGAAAGTCAGACATTTTGGCACTCGACTGCAGCTGGTGGTGATTTCCCTTCTGTTTCCCCCGAGCAACGCACGATTAGTCATCTGTTGTCATGAGGGGGCCCAATGACGCTGGACACGAGCACTTAACGTTTTCATTATGACACAAGTGAAGCCTGAGATGTGAAAATCAGTGTGAAAACTTCATCATTTTCCACACATCAAGACTTAACCATTGAGAAATATGTCACACACCGAGTGATTCACTCTGTGCTGAAAACATCTGGATTATATAAAGTCCCAGCACTGCCCAAAAACTGTTCAAACGTTCAGACTTCAGCTCCATGACTCATCATGAACAATAAAGCGGGGGGGGGGGGGTTGTTCCTTACATGTGTTTTTAACACTCCATCTAAAGCTTCTTTTGTTCAGATTTGCCTTTCCTTCAGAGTGTTTTTGTGGTTAAAAACAAAAACAACTTGTAAGTTTTCTCAGAGTTGTGGTAAGTTGGAGGCGTCCAGTGCAAATACTTTTTCCCCAGAACTCCTAAAAGAAAGTCATTTGACTCTCGTCAACTGCTGTCATCATTTTTTGGGTAAAAATGGAAATGTATTTTTGCATGGTGTTGAAAGCTCTGTTCGGAGGATGCTTCCTGGGTTAGCTAAGCAGCATACCACAGCTTTCCAGGGAGTGCAGAGCTAAAGCCCCCAGCAAGGGGGAACCGAAGGCTTGAGGCAGAAAGGAGGGGGCCGTGGGGGGGGGGGGGGGCAGAGGGGAAGCTTTGCCAGCAGCAGCAGAACAGTGTGTACAGCTCTGGTGAAGCAGAGATCAGTGAGACAGAAGTTGTGTTTAAATGGACCGCCTTGATGTGAGAATGAGCTGTGATTGGTCCGTGTGTGTGATTAGAAGCAATGATTCAATCGGCTGATTACAGCTGTGGCGTGCCACTTCTGTGTACTGCATGAAACACAAAGCTTGGTTTAAAGGCCTCTCTCTGTATTCATCAGGACATGTTTGAACAGCTTTTATTTTGGCTGTTACAAAGGAAACATTCAAAGCTAGCCTCCATGCTACGCTGTGACCAACCTTTAAGAAGCAATGTGCAACGCACGGAGGCAGAATGAGGAGGAATCTGTCTAACTGATGTTCTTTGGCCAAAACTTTCAGAATCTGAACAAGTGTTTTCATCACAAAGCGTTCCGATTGATAAGACACTACAGAGACAATGGACACTGGAAATCCAGAGAAACATCGGGCCATATTAAAAGTTACAGAACACAGTTAATAAGCCATTAGCTACAATCAGAACAAAGCTAATTTTAGCATTAAGCCACTAGCTCGATATCATTTACGTTTGCTAATCATAGAAACAGCTCAGATTTGTGACTTTTACACCAAGGTTATGTTGATCGAGGCGGAGTGCTATTAAGTAGCGCTTGTGCTAACATACAAATGATTATTACTAAAAAGAAAACACATCTCTTTGTTTCAGAGCTGTCGTCATTTGCTCTTTTTTTACAGTAATAATTCACAGCAGTGCAGCAATGACAGTCGCCGCAACTTGGTCTTGAGCTTTTACACCGAACATAACAACAGCGTTATGTTTATTATAGTCTGTGAGGTTAGATGGACCCCTGCCACCAGTCAGCTGTAGGATGACACTTGTTGCACTAGTGTGGGCTACTTTTCTCTAAAAACTAGATTTTGTCAAATCATACTCAATTTACAAAATGACTTGAAACGAATGTTGCTTTTATTTGAGCAATAAAATGGAAGAAAAGCTAACTGAATTTCTCTTTAGGGGTCAAATAACGAGCTGTAAAATGTTCTTTAAACGTGCAACTTTATAGTTTCAGGGTACGGTCAAAGTACAGATGAGGCAGAGCCACTTCAGTAAAATACCTGAGGCTGGGTAGCTCATACCTGAGGTCAACAAGCCACTCAGTAGGAAGTAAAAGAGGCGCGAGGGTGTAATATACGGGTGTCCAAAAATCTGATTTATCCCAAAAGAAACGATTTAATGTCTATAGCCCTTAAATATCAGCTTTTAAAAGAACACTGGATCGTTGCCCTCAGCTGTTAGGTCACATGACCCGGATCTTCAACATCATAGTCCCTCGAGCGTGAGGAGCAAGGCTTCACCTTCGAAGGACTTTAATGCTGACTCGTCCAAATGTTATCACGATGTTATCAGTGTTGGCAGACATCTCAGGTGCTTCTTTCTTTTCCAAATGCGTTGATGAATATCTGCCTAGAAAGACTGAACGGTCTGATCTGAACTGTTAAACTGTGCACGTCTACAAATAAAGCTTTGTGTTGCAGAATCTCGCCTTCAAAGTCTGGTTTGACAGATTTGCTGCAGATCATTAATACAAGTTTATGTATCACACACACACTAAATAAATCACTGCTTTAATGTTTAACCACTAATCTTCAGCTCTGGCACAGCGGGGAGATGAGCATCAGCAGGTGGGTTGTAGTTTCACCTGCAGGATCAGACTCCAGGTGACCCTTCCTCTGATTTGCTTACATGCTAATAAAAGGGGGCGTGACTCTCAGGAGAAGTCAAATCAGTGTTCAACAACACATGCACACAAAAATACAAACGGTGGAAATGTTTTCTTTAGTTTACAAACTGAACCAGATTAAGAAACCGCTGCAAAGGAATCTGTCAAAGTCTGAGCCCTACCAAACCCCAGGTAAAAAAGAAATAAGGATTTCACTGCGTTCAGGCTTCATTTTGACATCAGTTTTCGTCCTGTTCTTTGCATATCTATCAGTAGTTAACTTGCTTTGCTAGGAAAAAAATCACACTGACAAAAAAAACATCTGCACTGACAAACGAGCAAGCAGGTTCTGCAGGGCCACAGTCAGCCATGTTGCACGCCTTTTTATACTATTATTTACAGCCCCATGTCAGGGAGGGAAATGGTGCGTTCAGGGGCCTCTATCCAGCGGTAAACAGCGGGACTGTCTGTCAGCGTTTCTGCGGAAAAAGGCAGCACAATCCCAGACGGACAGACAGCAGCACTGGGTTAAATCTCTGGCTGTCTGCTTCCCTCCGCCCCTCCCCAACCAGAGCAACCGTCGGCGGGAGAACGTCAACGACAAAACGAGCGCTCAGTGTGTTTTTTTTTTTTTTTTTTTTTTTTTGCTGTTTACCTGCGGGCTGCCTCACGAGCTAACAGACAGGTGCACGTTTGTTTTTCTGCCTTACCGTTATAATATTTTAAAAATGGAGGTCGGAGGGGGGCTGCGGCGGGGTGTCTCGCCTCCTGCCGTCTGTCCACAGAACCCGTTTCGACTCCACAGGAACCAGCAGAGACTCCACGGCCATCTCACCGACAAGCGTGAAGCTGGACACGAGTTACCGCTAAACAACCGGTGAAGACTTTCACAATAAAAGCGCCGGTGACTGAGACAATAAAGGTAAATGATTAGTGAAACTTTAAAAGATTTAATAAAAAATAATTTGGTCTAACTAAGTTTTGTACTGAAGTCTTGATTTCGATAGGCTTCATTGTTTTTTTTCCTGTGATAAGTACATTTGGGTTTTTTTTGTCGGTATCTTGACCTATTTCATTTTCTCAGGATAACAAAGCAGATTTTCTGTGAAAACGAGTAATTTTAATTTAACTGATTGAATAAGTTAATTACTTGAGATTTCGGAGATTCCCCAATAACAATCAACCGTGATAGAAAATAGCCGTATTAAACTCGCAATCACAAGTCAATCAATTTCACAGAAAACCAGCTGTCCTGAGATAACAAGTGCATTTCTCGTATTCTCAACAAAGCGGCAGAAACCAACTTGATGGTTTATCCCCAAATTTTGTGATTAAAAAAAGTTGATTTGAGAAAATAGCCAGAATTGACTTATCACAGGAAAACTGACTGTAAGTTAATGTATTGGTGCATGTCTGCTGAGGGCTTCCGTACCTCAATCTATCAATGTAAACTCTAAAATGTGAAACCTAAACGCTTTTATTCTGTCATCTCTGTCTGAAAAGAGAAACCAGACTTAAGTCACTGCATATTATTTTTATGCAGGTAAAGTATGTAACTTCTCAATACCCTTCAAACACTTAACTGTCTTAACTGATTTAGAACAACACAGTAAATGCTGAAGAGTTTTATGATGAATTGATCGAGGCTCTTATTTTTCACAGTAGCTCCACCTCCGGGTGTAATGCTGTGAACTTGACGTCTCTCTCTCGCTCTCTCTCTCTCTCTCTCTCTCTCTCTCTCTCTCTCTCTCTCTCTCTCTCTCTCTCTCCGCCCCTCGCTCGATTTGCCAAATAGTGGAACCGCAAAGAGATACAAGGACGGCCACTGCTGCATTACGCTGTTTTTCCCTGCGTAATAGTGATCCGACCTGCTGTTGAATGCGACAGAGGAGGAGACAGACATGAAGAGAGACAGAGAAAAAAAATACACAGACAGACAGACAGACATGTATGGTGACCGATCAGAGAGAGAGAGAGAGAGAAATGGAAATAAAAAGCGCTTTTTTTTTCTTACAGTATTTAAAGCAACACGTCTCTTTTTATTCCTATTGTCAGAGTTGTACTAAAGAGACTTTTCTTTCTCACATGTTTGATTTTGAACCCACAGCGGTGCATCCATACTATTTTGACTGGGGTGGCCCCGGGTACCAACTTGCAGGGTCATCATGAAGTTTATGTCCACACACATACAAATAGGATTTATTCACCCCTTCTATCTCCATTTATTATAACTACCATCACATATCTGCTGGTTGTTATATTCCTGTGTATTTTTTTAATGTGATAAAGTAACACAACAGAGTGGAAACATATGAATCTTGTTAAGGGCCTGTGTCCACCTGACGTTTTATTTTTGAAATAAGTGCAATGAGTGCAAACTTCTTTTTGGAATTGTTCCCAATGAGGGAGTTTGCAACACTAAAGTAGATTTTGTCCCTTTTCCCGTTTTGTTCTTCATTTTTTATGTTTTCCAACTCACAATGAAATGTTTTAAAGTTTTCAAACGAATGTCTAGCTTTATACTTGAACAAAAAAGACCAGAAGTTGTGCTTTACTTTAGAAACATATTTTCATTGTAGGAAGGTTTGATACATAGAAAGAAGGCCTGCAAAGGATTTCTTGCTTTTCTTTTTTATTTCCTCTGCTTATACTTAACCTCCTGTTATACACCTTCAAAATAAAATACTAAAAAAGACACATATTTGTACCTGAAAGATCCCCATCTATATCTAGCCTTCAGCAAATTAAATAAACATGAATAACAAAACAGATAAGTGGTCATTCTGTCACATTCCTTTAAACTGCTGCATGATGGACAGTAGATGCTCGCTGCGTTTCTGGATGTTGCTCTGCTCCTCCTTCAGCCTCTCCTGCTCCTGCTGCACCTCCTCCTGAGCACAGAGACAAAGGGGGGGGGGGGGGGGGACTTTTTTTTAGATGTAAAGTTGACATGCCTTCTTTGAGGATCTTTCCTGTTTCTCAGAGCAGTGACCTGAGGTAGAGTGAACAACAGGAGATTGAGAAAAGCTTGTGTGAAGTTCTGTTTTTTTAATGTTTTACTGACTCTGAGTCTGCAGAGCTCCTTCCTCTCTCGGTCGTTCTCCTCGGCTCTCGCTCGAAGCCATGCCTCGTTTTGGGAGCGGTGTCTGTCCAGCATCTCCTGCAGCTCCTGAAACGAACAACACATACATTATTACCTCAAAGGAATTCAGAGTTTTGATGCCTGTTGTCTGTTTCTGAATGCCAGCAGGATTCGAACAACCTGATTGGAAAAAACACCTATCTCCATTTTTATTCAACTTTGAGGAAGTTAATAAAAACCATATTTGATGACCGAGTGCACTACTTCAAAGCTAACATGACCATTTGATTGTGCACACTGTGACAGAAAAGGCTGAAACTTATTTCAAAGTTCAACATTCTTGTAATTGGTGTTTTCTATTCTATGCAAATGTCTGGCGGACATTTCTTGGAAGCAGCGAGCCTAAATACAACAGAAACCACTCACTGCTCGGGGGCTTGGAACACTTTTCTTTTCGATGTAATAAAATATGTGCTCCAGTGGAGGTTATGTAACTTAATGTCACTACTGTCTCAACCAGAACAAGCAGCGTGTATTCCTCACAGGCTGAGACAAATGTGTCCACGATGTGCACTGATATTTCAGAAGTGATTTCTTACATAAACACAAAATGCAACACTAAAGTAGAACATTACCACAGCCTCCCACTGGGAGTGTGAATGTTGGATAAGATGCACACATAACACAACATTTCCTTCTAAGCATACAGTTTTTTGTAGTGCCTTTATTTCCCAACAGGTTGTTTTCTTCACTATGTTATACAGTCTAAATATGTCACAGCTTTACAAACATTAAAATGTGTTTTCTGCTTTCCCCAAACTTAAAGGAGCAATCAGTAAGATGTGTAGTGAGTGAAATGATGAAGTGACCTTACTAACCCATTTTGAACGCTAGGTGTCAGAGTTACATATTTCTCCTTTAAAAAGGAAGCTATGCGAGGTACTTCTGTTTGGGAAGTATAAAACAACAGGTCAAAGGTGCGGGGACTAAAGCTCGGCACCGCTATTGACACCATCATAATTTTTTAACTAAATTATATCAAGATGTGGAAATATCTGTAAAACATTAGCATGTCTTAGAATAATTGGCTATTTGGTTGGCAGGGCTTTGCACTCTTCAAATGCTCTTATTGGAAACAGATGATTTGATAATTAGCATCACTAACATGCTGAACAGTTTGTATTCTGTATGTATCCATTACCAGATGACCATGTTTATCCGTACATCTGAGGCTGAAAGATTGGATTGGATAGAATTATTTTGTATTAGAATTAATTGTAATTGATTAGATTGTTTAAACTATAACAGATTCAGTTAAACTACATTAAAAAGATACGACTGTTTGGACCAAAACACATTGATTTAGTGAATTGTGATGAGTTTGGTATAACTATAGTGATTACAGTCGATGGGATGATTGCAGTACTGAACCTGTTGCTGTTGTTGTTTGTGAGCTTCGTGAGCTTCTCTCTCTCTCTGCAGAGCAGCAGCAGCTTTAGACAAATCAGATTTTTCCCTGCAAAAAAAAAAAATACATCCATTCAGAAATGTCTTTTCACAATAATTAATGTGAGACATTTATTGTCCCATTAAGATTTGTGAAACATGCTAAACATAGGTGAACAAAGATGTAGATGTACCTGTCGAGTTTCTGAAACTCCTGGTCCAGCAGAGAGAACGCTGTCTGGATCATTTTCATCGCCTGATCTCGAACCGTACTGAAGTCTCTGTGAACACACACCTGCAGGAGGGAATATCACCTGAGATATTATTACAGGTAGAAGACATCATGCTTCAACAAAACATTTAAATACACTATGAGACATGCTATGACTACTTCAACATCTATCCATCCATATTTGACTTATCCGAGGTCGGGTCAGGGTGGAAAGAGGCCAATTCAGTCAACCCAGACTTCCCTCTCCTCAGCAACTTTTCCAGATCCTCCTTTGGGATTCCCGAGGTGTTCCCAGGTCAGATGCGAGCTCTGGCTCTATCCCGGTTTCTCCTCCTAGTTGGGCGTGCCTGGAAAACCTCCAAAGGGCGGCGTCCAAGAGGCATCCTGATCACATGCCCAAACCACCTCAACTGGCTCTGTTCGATGCAAAGGAGCAGCGGCTCTGTTCCGAGTTCCCCCCATATGTCTGAGCTCCTCACTCTATCTTGAAGGCTGAGCACAGACACATTTCGGAGGAACTTGTTTCTTCTTTTGGTCACTTCCCAAAGCTCATGACCATGAGGAAGCTTGGAACCATGAAGACTGGTAAATCGAGAGCTTTGCCTTCAGGCTCAGCTTCCATTTCACCACCAAGGTCCGGTACAATGTCTTCATTACTGTGAGGCTGAACCAATCCCCCCCGTCAATCTCACGGCCCATCTCACCCTCATCATGAACAAGACCATGAGATACTTGAACTCCTTCACTTAGGGTAAAGACTCCCTCCCCACCCAGAGAGAGCAATCCACCATTTTCTATGATAACATCTAATACATGCTTCATGTTTACAGATACTGCTACAGTGTGTGTGTGTGTGTGTGTGTGTGTGTGTGTGTGTGTGTGTGTGTGTGTGTGTGTGTGTGTGTGTGTGTGTGTGTGTGTGTGTGTGTGTGTGTGTGTGTGTGTGTGTGTGTGTGTGTGTGTGTGTGTGTGTGTGTGTGTGACAGGATCACCTGTGCGTCAGCCGGTGTGTTTCTGGACTGGTTGGGTGGAGCAGACTCGTTCAGCTCGTAGCGAACGTTGGGAACCTTTGTGGGGGTGAAGCTGTGGAAACCAGAATGAAACCCAAGTGTTCAAACTGAGATATGAGACTCAAACAGAGCGTTACGAGAAGCTGAAACTGCACACACACACACACACACACACACTCACACACACACACTCACACACAAATGAAACAGAAACACAAGTATGTGTGCAGCAGCAGCAGCTGACCTGTGGCTGACTCCCTGCAGACCAAACTCTGACAGAATCTCCTTCATCACTGTGGAGAAATGTATGTTTCTTTTATTGCCCCTTAGCTTCTGCCACTTTTTTAAGCTTCAAGGTCAAATTCTGTGCCATTGTTTCATTTGTCCCTTTCTAAACACAAAATCTAAAGGCCATATTTTATGACTTTTTATTGCGTGTTGCTGAGTGTTAAGAATGAACAGTTTCATTTTTATGATTGTTTGACCTTTCCTCTAGCACCACACTAAAATGACAATTAAAATAAATGACTGTATAAAAGAGAAGTGAAACACACTATGATACTCTTTAAAGCCTTGAGTTTCTAATTCTGCTGTCACTATCTTGGATTTTTAGAGCCAGATGTGACCACATGTAGACGAGAGGGTGAAGCTTCAGAGGCGTTAGTAAAGGTTCAATAATATGCTTTGGGGAGGACTGCTCTCCAGTGCTGGGAGAAAGGAGTCAGTAGAAGCTTGACGCTCGGTCCTTTTCATATCAAGAAACTATCTCGTGATTTTCAGAACTTGGCGTTTAGCGCCCCCTGCAGACTCATCCTGGGATTACTCCAAAAAAACATTCAGTAGAATAGGTAAACTTAGCTGATGCATTTCAATCAATGATCAATTTGTTTTATTTTAACCTTGCAGTGATTATTAAACCTGGCACTGTGCTCACAATAACAAAATACTTTTGAAACAACAGTTGCATTTGCTACAACTGACATTTCATCTTTTCTGACACTTTTTGATCATCTTAACAACCTCCTGCAGGTCTTCAAAGTACCCCAAACCCTGCCCTCAAGCCCTGATGTTTTGTTTTAATGAGTCCAAATTGGGGAATAATTTATGAAATGAACATTGTGCTGTATTGAAGAAGACTTGAAACTAGAGATTGAGACCGTAAACTCGTTAGGAAAAAGTTTACTGAGGGCATAAATCATTTTAGAAGGAGCACTGTTTTGTCATAGACGTCTTTACAATCAGATTTATTTTTGCATCTTCAGCTGAAATAAATGCAGCAGCCTCCTCTGGAGAGCTTATGTAATTTGATGTAAAATGTAAATGAAGTACCTGGTTGTCTCTCTGAGGGGTTGATGAGTTTCATCCCCTTCAGGTCATTAAACTCCTGCTCTTCATTCTTCCCTCCAAACACAAACAGCTGTCAACCAAACAAGGAAAATACTTTTTTACATCAAAAGACACGTAATAGGTCATATAAGTGACATTATTTGAAAGTCTCTCATTAAACACTGACGTGGCTGTGAAGGATGAAGGCGGTGTGTCCGTACCGACGGGCAGGAGGAATCCCGACGTACAAAGGAACCTTCCACTTCATCTTAGCTGGAGAGACACGGAGTCAAATATTTAAAGAATGTATAACTCTTTGTCTTCATCCAGCATGATTGAGTTTTTTTTTTAATCTTACTCACCTATACTGAGTTTGTGGATTTCATTTAAAGATGACTCTGTGCCGTCTTCGTTTGTGCTTTTACCACCAAATAGATAGATATCCTGTAGGAGTTATAACTCGATGAAAATTCAGCATAAATGAAGTCAAAGTTGTCAGAATGTGTTGATCAGATGTCAAGTTTAGGACCTCAAAAGGGCAGCTTGTATTAAATGAAATAGGGTCACATGAGGAGACCCATGCATGGTCCATGTTTAACATACAGTAAATGTTTTAGGGTGCAATGTTTGGAGAAGCCTGCAGGAGGAGCTGTAGGGAAACGGCTGTCTGACTGCGAGCTGAAGCAGTTTAAATATTCAGACTATAACACACATACACTGAACATCATTTTCTTGATGCTAAAAATGTCTCTGTGGAAACCCTCAGACTGTGTGTCCCTTTAAATGTTGTCAAGAAACCTACATCTGTGTGTGTGTGTGTGTGTGTGTGTGTGTGTGTGTGTGTGTGTGTGTGTGTGTGTGTGTGTGTGTGTGTGTGTGTGTGTGTGTGTGTGTGTGTGTGTGTGTGTGTGTGTGTGTGTGTGTGTGTGCATGTGTGTGTGTGTGGGTGGGGTTACTTTATCATGGTGTGCAGTCAGTGTTTGTCCTCTACAGGCTGCAGGTGATTCTCCTTTCACCTCCCATTTCTGCCACACCAAGTTCTCTATAAGACAAACAGAAAAGAACGACGCATGCATGGTGTGATAACATGAACCTCACAGGAGAATACAAAATATAACAGACACTAATTCAATGCTGCCATATTGTGCATCCATCCTTCAAGTTCCTCTTCAGACAATTCAGAGTCAAACACTGTTTGCAGCTGATATTCACACAGACTTTTGAAAATGCATCTCTAGAACAATATGGACTCTTAACATTTATGAAGTATAAATGTCAGATACTTTCTTTATTCAGATCTGTCCATAGAAATAAGAGTTACATTGTTTTAAAAATGAACCCTCCTCTGGTTCCCAACCCAAGACCCTTCACACTGAGATACCGTCACCATTTCCTCTAAATGCATGATTGTGACACAATGAGGGAGGTAAACAGACAGACAAATAAAAGGCCTGCTTCAGTTATAATCGAAGACTTGTGTTTCACTTTATCACTTTGAGCACCTTACAGTGTTTAATAAGTATATACACATGTACATATTTATCTACATATTTGCAGATTTGTGATACAATAATCGCTCCATATGATATCTAATCACAGCCTGCTTCACATGAGGTCCATGGTCTTTGCCCCCAGAGGCTTTAACGGCATCTATAGACAGTGTTTACCTGTGCTGAGAACATGGAGGTCTTTACAGAAGTCTCCACCTGCATCATGACCTCCGAACATGAACAGCTGATCTCCAACCAGAGCGAAACTCTGATCACACCTACACACACATTAACACACATTAACACACATTATATAAGGGTGTCATTAAGATACATGTAAGCAGTTATTACAAACTATGATCACAAACAGGAGGAGCCCCTGTGCTGTTTTTTTATACAGGTAAAAAAAGTTATGCAATTAATCATCCCTCTGTGGAATGATTAGTAGGTGTCTTACAAGGCAGGAGGCAGTGAGCCGTTAGTTTTAACAGGTGTCCAGGTGAGAGACACTGAAACAGATTCAGAGAGGAAAATATCAGAAAAATCATGATTATGGAGATGTTATGTATTTTATTCAAAGGAAAAAGGGAAGTTTATCCAGTCTTATGGCATAACAATGTAAGGACCTGTGTTGAAAACCATCAGATCGTCGGTTAGATTCCTCCCACAATGCCTCCGTACACGTAGATGCTGTCTCCCACGGCAACAGAGCTGTGCTTGAGGGTCTTGACGACGACTCCCCCGACTGCTAAGCAATTCCAGGTCAGGGACACTGATAGGGAATTAACATGAGTCACTGCGTTGTTTGCAGCTAATGTGACACTCACATGTTTCGTCCCCTCTCACCTATATCAAAGCTGTAGACTCCTGCGAGGCACTCGGTGGCGTCGGGGCTGGACACTCCTCCAAACAGATACAGCTTTCCTTTCACAACACTTAACAAATAAGAAAAAGACATTCAGTCAGTGGAAGTGCATCGAGGCATCCTGGTCCCCCTAACGGTCCTGTCCCTGGTTTAAGAGTTCCCTCGATGTGGAGGAGCCGTTCAGCACTGAGCTTCAAATGTTAGGAGTTGAATATTTCAATAAGGAAACGGGGCACCGCTTGGCCAAAATAATTTAAACACTTCTTAAACAGAACATAAAAATAACAGATCATTGTTAAGACAAAGCTCTGTTGCTATTTTGAACTGCAGATTACATATTCAATAATTCAGTGGACTCTCCTCTGAGTCAAAAACCAGAGGAAGACTCAGTGTTTGCATCAAAATAAGTTTTGCCTTAAGGGATAAGTGTGCTCCACTTTCTTTGGTTCCTGGTTGAGAGAAGGAGTCCAGTGAATTATTTTGAACGTCTAAGGTCCTTCTCTGAGCACACCGACCTCCATTGGTGGAGTGGCTGAAGTTGATTACATATTCCTTTGTGTCTATATTATTTTGAATTCCTTGAATGGTAATTTGCAGCGATGAAGGCTTATTTTGACCTACATTGGCAGCAATGTTCTATGTTACCTTGCCTTGATTTCAGTTAGCCACTTAGAAACAGATGTGTATTTCAGTTGTTGGAATCAAACTGTGTGACAAGCAGGAAAGGGCAGAGGTCGGATTTTGGGCACACGGACGCTGCGTAAAGGACTACAGCCTGTTGCTTACCACAGAGTGTGTCCTTCTCTGGCTGAGGGGACGTGTCCGTTCTGAGGAATCTCCTCCCACATCAAATCCTCAGGAGAAACTACGACAAAGTATCTGGTTAATTTTATATTTTACTTAAAATCCACCAATCAGGCTGTGTAGCAACAGGCTGCTAGTAGTTTAATGTACATGTCAGTATAATACATTTTCTTTAGTCAGATATCTAAGTTTGTAAATGAATACTTTGCATATCTAATTTAAAGACAGGTTCTTAGGAAATGCATGAGTCCATAAAACAATATTGCCAATACCTTCTGCAGACATTGCAGCCTAAACTTCGGCCAACAAATGATACATAGAAACAAATTGAGGACCGGCTTGTGCAAACTTACAGCAATAGTTCAGGTCAAAAACTCCACAGGACAACTTTAATACAATCTGAACTTAACAATGTCAAATCTGCATCTTTAGTTCATACCTGTCAGCATGTAGAAGTCATTGAAGTAAACTGGCTTCTCCTCCTGAATTAAAGGGAAATGAAGGAAATGAGCAGATTTTTACCATCCAGACTTCATGTTGTGACTAAAGAGCCTCAAATGTTTAAAGGGAAAATAGAAGTTGTCTTATTTTTCTGAGTTTAAAAGGTTTGAAAAAAAGGACAAAGCTGTCACCTCTCTGTTGATTCTGGAGGCTCCTCCAAACAGAAAGACGACGTTTCCTGCAACAGCTACAGCGTGGCCGAATCTGTAAGAGAAGATGTGAGGCAGTAAGAAAAGGTCTGTCCCTCTTATGATGAGCATCCACCACATCACAGACCTTTATTTATTTTTACAACGTGAAGCTTAGAATAACTTCACAGAACTTTACAATAGGATTGTTCAGTGTTTTCAAACAGGGACAAAGACCCACCTTGGACTCGGGGCTTCTCCTCTCATCTCTCTTTCTATCCAGTGTCCGCTGGCTAATGCCATCTTCACCTCTGCAATCTCACTAACACACACACAAAACGAAAGACACGTCGTCTTTAACATCTAAAAGGTACAGGAATCTGAGTCATGAGCTACATTTTGTACCTCAGGAACTTTCTCAAAGGACAAGGAACCATTAGAGGAAAAAAGTGAATTTCCAGTGCAGGTCAAATCAAGATAATTTGGGACATTATCTACCGCCGAAAAAGGTCACTGCATGACAGATTCAATTACAAATCACTAAATTGATCTTGCTTTTTAAGAGAGTATGTTATCCTGTTCTAGGTAGCGCTACACAAACATGATGCATTCAAGTAACCACCTTAAGTTAAATAAATGAAGAGCATAGTTTGGCTCCTCTCTGAACATGTATTAATTAAAACAACATCATCAGGATCAAACCTACCTTTTATCCGTCTGGAAGTTGATTTCTTGGTTTTCAAGGTGTTCTGCTCTAAAGCCACAGGGGAGTCCTCCGGCTCACAGTCCGACAGCTGTCCTCTGTGTCTCAGCTTACAGGTGGGATACACTTTCCTCTTGCTGCAGGTACACTGTTGCCAGGCAACGCCTCCCAACACTTGGACGACCAGAGCAGGTCAGCATTTAACAGGGCAGAAAAAAAAACAAAATCGATGTTGGAAGTTGTTGTTTGATTAAAAAAAAAAGGTCCTGAGTGAAGTTTATTAAAAAACAACTTTGATGAAGACCTCAACATTATCAAAAAAAAAACTCAGTTATATTTTATTGATTCAGATTTTAAAAGGTAGTTTGAGCTTTTTGTGATGGTTTTGGTTTGATGATAGAGTGCAAGTTCACATATTTATTTGTATAAAAGGATGGATAGACATTGATACGCATCATGGGAGATACAAATCATTCACATCCATTAAACATAATCTTGCTTTAACATCCATTTAACTTTAAATGGGACCATCATTTACAGAATGAACATCTTGTTGTTTTGAAGAAGACCTCAAACTAAAGACTGAGACCATAAATTTAGTCTGATAACAAACATTTACTGAGGGACTAAATCAACTGAGAAGCCGGCCTTTTCCCATAAACTGTAAATATTAATACCAAGACTAGCCTGTTCCTGCAGAGTCCCATCGATGCTGGTCTCCATGCTGGAAATCCTGTCTCAGCATAACTTTGAGTCAACCTAATAACAGACTGAGAGCTCGGGCTGAGGCGGGTTTTAAGCCTCTTCACAAACAGTTATATCTCACCCTCTTGTCAATCAGGTCAGCCCAACGCCTTATTGTGAGTAGATCTTATCCTTCCTATAATCAAATGGATGAGTTATCAAAAAATTCACCTCGCGTACAGTGTGTGCAGATCAAGTCATGAGCTAATCAGACCTTTTTCGTTTTTTGAACCAGGCTGTAAACATGTTAATATCTGCTGTAAAAAACTGGCTTTCTGAATGGGTGTGTATGTGACTTCTAGTGTTTCTGCAGACAGCCTCTAGTGGACACTCAATGAACTGCAGGATTTTCCCCTTCTGCATCGGCTTCATTTGTCAACACAGGATGTTGCCGTTTGGTTTTTCCACTCTTAGGCTGTTGTATGAAACCGCTTGCGGCAATCGACCGCAGTATGTAGTAAGTACTGTATGCGTTCAGCATTAGTATCACTGCCATGTCGCTGGTTATTTTCCAGTATACCAGGCCCGACTTAGCTGGTTTTCCGGTCTTCGAATGAGGAAGTAAACAACAACCCAGCCGAGGGCAAAGGCTGCTATACTGTAGCATCCACTTGTAGTGTGAAAAAATAAATAAAAATAAAGTGATTCATTTAGATTTTTCATGATTTAGAGAATCATAAAAGTTAATTGGTGTTATCTTTGTGAGGTTTGGTCTGATTGTGATCATTTCCCCTGTTACACATTGTGTTGGCACTTTGAATTGTGGGAAACAGTACGAGAGAAGACTTGTCAGATGCATACTGTAGATTTTTCCAGTATCAGTATGACATATTTCTGGCATACTGCAGACCTCTTACTTGTTTCCATACTGCATTTTGACCAAATCAGAACTACTGCTAGTCTTACATTCAGCTTTGCTACTTTTTTATACCAATAAGATCGCCCCCTGCTGGACATTTGTAAAAGTGTAAGATAAAGGTGCATTGACTTTACTTTTGTAATAACGCTAATTCTAGCACCATATATTGTCCAAATGATCCTCAAGTGTGTGGTGTCAATACTATTGTTTGATTGCTCTCGACTGAGCCAGAGCCTTCCCGATCTGTAGCCTAATCGTAAATATTAAAAATCGGTCTGGACTGTCATTGTGTCTTTTGGTCTCCCATGTTTTCAAAATCAGTTCAGAGACCAGAATTCACAATCCTGCTGACTCATCTCAACTTGGCTCTCTGTGCCTCTTTAGAGTTCATGTGATGGGGCGCAGTCTGCAGAGAGAGTGTCTGTGTTCATGCTCCCAGCTCTTCACCATCTCACAGATTTATCCGCTCGCTGACTCAGTCTCACATCTTTTTAAAGTTTTTAAAATAAATCAAACTGCTAATTTTTCATCTTTAAAACATTAAACAGAACAGAAAATCAGCCCAGATTCACAGCGATTGAATGATTCCATCAGGAGTTATTGTTCCCTTTTGTCCCTCATGTAGACTAATAAACTGTGTTTTTATTCATTTATTCAGTCCAGGCTTCTTGTTTTCATTTTGCAGACTCCTTTCTCCTCTGTGACCTACAAGAAAGATGAAAATCCTCGTCATCATCCTCATTATTATCACTGTCCTGTGAAATAAAAACATGGAAGCTGGGTTTCTTCCCCCCCATGGCATAAATCGGTGAAAACGTGCCGCTCATCTTTAACGGTCTCGTTTGATTTATGACGTAAGCCGAACGGTCACGTTTCCACCGTCACCACTCTATTTTTTTTCTCCTTCTAATCATGTTTTATTCACACACACACACACACACACACACACACACACACACACACACACACACACACACACACACACACACACACACACACACTACCAAACCACAGCTACCGACACGTGATCCATCCCGTGTTTTCACCTCCGTTTGCCACTGACAGAGCAACCGGAACTTCCTTTTAGAAATAAAATCCACACGATGAAAAATGGTTAACTGATTCTGAGGGTAAAT